CATTTTCCAGAAATAGCATTGTGGGGCCAGCAGGTGGAGTGGCAGGTAAGGCACTGGACTTCCACATGGTTCGAGCTTCTGGACCTGGTGGCTTGAAAATCATGCTGGGGGTGTGTGCACGCATGCCCAAGATCCTGGGAGAATGAAGAAGGGATTGCTGCACGGCCAGCCCCCATGGGCGTGGTTTCTCACTTTCCTGCTCTCTGTCTCTCTCCTCTCCAATAAGCACACGTGCTCTGTGGCAAAACCTAGAAAAAACCCTTTTTTAATAAAATAATAAATATTTAACATTGTATAGTTTGTCCAGAGAATTTCAATCTAGACGCTAAGGAGGTACACACACACACACACACACACACACACACACAGAGTTTAAAAATAAGCTGCCTTCCTGGAGGAGAAAGAACATGTCCCTGAGCGGGAGGCTCACATTGGAGGGAGTGCACAGCAGCCACTTGGAGCTGTTATTCACAAGTCAGAACTGACACGGGGGGACGGCAGCTAAGGGAGGCTGCCTGGCTCCAGGTGAAAAATGCCTTCAATGATCAAAAATGCCTGAAAGTATAATAATCTGCCTGACTGAAAAGTACGTAGTGGCTGGGTCCAAACGGAAGCCCTACGACTAGTCACCACCTACCCCAAGGCTGTCCTAGGTATTTCTAAATGTGCACCTTAACTTAAAACAGTTGCAGACTTATTTTATAAGGTAAATTCTGAGCATTGGTCCAATGAACATGTGTTATGATATGGGGTATAATTGAAAAAAATTTTTAAAGATTCTAGCAACTGATACCATTCCAGGTTATCAATACATATATTTAGTATTTTTCAATTAGAGATGCACTCTCTCCAAAATTTGGCATAAGAAAATCTTACAAAATAATAGCAATGAAGAAAACACACTTTTTTTTTTTTTAAAGAGGTTTTTGGCTTAGGGTGCGTGAGCTTGCCAAAGAGAGAGAGAGACAGAAACAGTGAGAGGGAAAGTGAGAAATCATCCTCCCAAGTGGAATGACCACGTCATAATCCCCTCTCCATTCTCCTCCCAGGATCTCGGGCATGCACACACACACGCCTGGCATGAGTTTCAAGCTGCGGGGTCCAAGATGTGCGAACCACAGTCGACCATGTGAGAGTCCCGCGACGTAACCACTATGTCACCTGCTGGCCCCCGCAGCACTGTGTCTGATGGCCCTAAAGAGTGAGTGGCACTAATACAGAGCATCTCTGCTCCCCTGGGCGGGACACAGGCTCCAGTGCGGCAGGAAGTTATCTGCACCGGAGATGCCCTGCAGGGGTGTTCTGGGACCACGCGGGAACTCTTCCCATTCTGGGATACTAGATCCTAGGGAAGAACACCCTGCCTAGTGGGGAGCAGAGACAGCACATTGACCTCGGCGAGAACCACAAAGACAGCTGTGATCTTTGCTGTCATAGAGGGCCGAGCGGAAAACACAGATGGCTTGAAACCACTTATTTGGGGCGTTCTTCCTGCCTCCCTCAAAAGTAATAGCAACGTCTAAAACTCCTTTCAAAGTTGTGAAAGTCTAATCAGGTTTCGGCATTCTCTATCAGCTAAAGTTAGTCTACGTCTAATAAAAATAGAAACGAAGGTGCCTATCAGTAAAGCGTGGTTCTCTTCCTGCTGGCCCTGATTTGTAAAATGCATGGGCCTTCTGAGGGGGTCTGAGAGAGCAGCTGCCATTGTCAATACCCCCGTACTCTACGACCGCCCAAGGACACCTGTCAGAATTCCCTCTTATCTTCAAAAACCACTTTTTAGCACTTCCTGCTTTTCCTCACAGCTGCCAAAGCTCTAGACTGATCTGTCCACCTCTTGACAAGCTTGGGGCACTGGACTCGGGTGTTCTCCAGCTCTGAGCTCTACTGGAGTCAGCTCGAAGGCATCTAGGCAGACGCTGCGACCCACAGGTCCATAGCCTGCCTGGCTCCGTGGACAGATGGACTCTGCCCGGCTCCCAGCACTGGCCCTGGTCACTTCCGAGATGTCCTCCTTGAGATGATTGTAAATACAGGAGTATGTCGGCGTACGTGACCCTGCCAACCGTTCCTCGGCTTACATCTTAAAGCAGCGCTCCGTTACAGCAGGTGGCCTCACGTGCAACACAAGGCGAACATTTAACGTTTAAGCCATACTCATGTCTTTATCTGTACACAGGAAACTCAGATACCTTAATAAGTAACTCATTATAATTTTGTCATACTAAACAAAGTATGCTATATGGATTTAACATTCAACCCTCCTAAGTTTTAAGTTTGCTATGTCTCTTAAAGTTAACACCAAGTTTTTCCTTGGGAACCAGCAGTTAGCGTAATGGCTATGTCGCTGGACTCCCGCGTAGTCGACCGCGGTTCGCGTCTCGGACCCCGTGGGCTAAAT